TAGTGTCACCCCACTTAAGTCCTCACCCTCCAGAACTGCTAGACGTAGAAGGACCCGCCTTGCTAATGGTACATGGCACAATTTTAAACCCCTTCGTAGAAGAACACACCCTAGAATTCGAAGAATTAAAGGAATTCATCCTCAGCTGGAATACCGCCGACCACCGCCTCCGAGAGGCAAGCCGGGATCTCCTTTTGGAGAGCACGAAGAGTGTCCCCACAAGGGAGGGTGTCACATTGATAGGCCCAGGGGAGTCAATGCTCGTAGGACCTCTCGTAGGTGCTACAGGCAATGGCAGCAGGCCTGCAAAAATACAAAGGCTCTGAGGGCGGACTCCTCAGCAGCCACACCCCCCCAGTCCACAAAAGCCCCCCAAAACAGGGCACAGTGGTTCAGGACAAACGTCCTATGGCAGCAAAAAATCACACGGAAAAAGAAGCCTAAACAGAATGGGCCCCAGACCACACCGCCTCTAGCTTACAATCGCAAGCTTAGAGTCGGTAGTCAGAATGTGCAAGGTATGGCTGATACCCTCAAGCTCAAAAATCTGTTGCTTATGATGAAGGAACACAATCTGGATGTCATGTTCCTATCAGAAACTAAATCGACTTCGTATTACTCCTATACCTCAGAGCAACACTTAGTCGTTTTGTCTGGTAATAACAAAGATAAGCACTCTGGGGTAGGGGTTATAGTGAGTCCAGGCATCCGACCACACCTTGCTGACATAGTCCAGGTCAACAATAGGCTTATTCATATCATACTCAACAAAAGGGGAGGTAGGATACACTTGTTAGGAGCGTATGCGCCACATTCAGGTCATGATCATGACACAGTTCGGCAACCGTTTTGGGAATCCCTAGAGGAATATGTGGCGAAAATACCCCAACCAGAACCAGTGTATCTTACGGGTGATTTTAATGTTCGGTTTCAAGCACAACACAAACATGATGAGGGCGTTACAGGGCCATTCACATACGGAAAGGGTTCGCAAGCTATCGACCACACCGCCCAATCCAACCGCTCGTTGTGCGTTCGAACAATGCTTCTTCTAGATATGCTGGAGGTCGCCTCATACAAAACACCCAACCCAGTTCACCACATCACTTTCCGGGATAAAACAGCCCCCCCAAAGGATTGGTCGCAGTACGTCTTGGACCCTTTGATCATGCAGCAGGTGTATTCAGAGCTACATAGAGTGATGCCATCGCAATCCTTGGAAGTAGCGGCCAGAATACGCAGCTTCTTACCGCTGGCGCAACCTCTTCCTCCGCCCCGAGTAGACCCCTCACCCGACCCCGTTCGCTTTCAGCGGCTAGACCACACCTTCACTAGGAGACAATGGCTTTCATCCGTTAACTCATGTAGATCTAAATTGCATACAGGGTACCCGTCGGACCATTATCTCCTGGTAACGGAATTGCAGGTTAAGTTGGCACGTAGAGACCCCCCACCACCAAAGCCCCCAGAATTTGACTTCTCTAGAGTAAGCATTGATCAAAGACTGGCTTATAACGCACAAATTCGGGGCTCCCCGCAAAGTAGCCGTAAGGATGGGTCTTCTGACCCTGACCACACCGCCAGAATGAGCTTCTATACGGACGGCTCGGGAACAGGTGGACGATGCACAAAAACAACGCCAGCGGGCTGGGGATGGTGTACCAAGCAACACGGGGAGTGGATCACCGCGCGGGGCAGGGTGGAAACTGACCACACCGCCAGATTTTACTACGGGGCCCAGGTCGGTTCTAACAACACTGGGGAGCTGACAGCTATTATAGAGGCACTATTATACGCCTTGGAGCAAGGGTGCGGTAGAGTAGATATATACTCGGACAGCCAGTGGGCCATCAACGTCATTACGGGCAGGTGGCGTGCAAAATCACATAAAACACTAGTTGGCCGTGCACACACACTCTCAACACAAACAGGAATGACAGTCTCGTTCCATTGGGTCAAGGCGCACGCAGGCACAGAAGGTAACGAAAAGGCGGATGCACTCGCCAACGCTGGGCGTACACAGGGGCGCAACGGCGGAAGTAACATGGTTCCCCCGGACACTCCGCCCCAGGACCACACCCCCACCATGTCAGCGGACACCATGGTGCACGCCATGAAGCAGGCTGCGGCGGATCACTTTCCTTACAAAGAACGACGCGCGCACACACCATGGATCAAAGACCACACCCTACAGCTCCTGGCCCAGGCACGGGCAGCGCAAGCGGAAGGTCACGAAGATTGGAAAACGCAAAGAAACAAAGCCAAGAGGGCAGCGCGCAGGGATAGAATCGACTGGGTTCATGACCAACTTTTAGCAGACCCGGATGCCAGTCACTCACCGCTTTGGAATGCAGTTCGCCGACAGAAAAAAGGTTTCGTGGGGAAAAAATCGCATCTAATTGTAAACGGGAAGCCAGTCCCATGGTCAAAATCGCACGCCGCTTTCAGGGATCACCTCGAGGGTTCGCAATGGGCTCCGCCCAACATTCCTGACCACACCGCCGCTAGACGTAAAGCTAGACCGGGATTACGTCCACAACTCCCTGATGAAGGACGGTTCACTTTGGACGACCTTCAACGGGCCATTCAAAAAAGTAAAGGCGGAAAGGCTCCGGGACCGGACCAGGTGAGGAACGAGCTGTTTATGCTATTAGACAGGGAAGGAGAAGCAGCGCTCTTGAGTATCTACAACAAATGTTGGGAGGAAGGCGACATCCCGGGACCATGGGCCGAAGCAATAGTAGTGTCAATATATAAGGGTAAAGGTCTAGACACAGACGTCACCAACTATCGACCCATTTCTTTACTTAACACCATTTACAAAATATACGCTGCTATGCTGCAACACCGCCTCGCAAAATCAAGTGAGCATTTCCTTCGCAGTCGACAGTACGGTTTTCGAGAAGGTAGAGGCACACAACAGCCCATATTTGTTTTACGCCGCGCCATGGAGTGGGCGGAAATGACAAATAAACCATTACAACTATTATTCCTAGACTGGAAGCAGGCCTTTGACTCACTCGACCACACCGCCATGCTCGAAGCGTTGCGCCGTTTCGGTGTTTCAGAACTTATGCTCAAGACAATACAGGCTATACATCAGTCTCCAACCTTTTACACCAGAGGACCCGATCACACCGCCGCAGCAGGCTCTGTACACTCAGGTATTAGGCAAGGATGTCCCCTAAGCCCATATCTATTTATTATAGTACTCACAGTCATGCTTGCGGATGTTGATAACGACTTACTACTCCAAGGCACGCCCACCAACACCTGGTCAGAAGGCTATCCAACGTTCGATTTAGAGTACGCGGATGACACATTGTTGTTAGCCTTGACCACACCGCAGATGCAGGACATTCTCACATCATTGGAGTCAGTAGCACATGAATACGGTATGCACCTAAATAAAACCAAGACTGAGCTCCTAATCAATCCCGATCGCCCCTCCTCTCCGCTGTACTTTACGGATGGCGCGGCCGTCCCGACCACACCGCAAATCAAGTATTTAGGCACCAGGATCACATGGAAAAAACCCTTTGACGCCGCATTCTTACATAGAGCAGCTATAGCCGAGGAAGCATTTAAGAAGCTCCGCTTAGTATGGAACAGTAGCCTTTCCCAGGCGGTACGTTTACGTATTTTCCAGTCTACCTTCACGCCCACACTTATTTACGCGTTGGATACCCTCACTCTTACGCAAAAACAACTAGACAGGGTGGATGCTTTCTTCATTCGGTTCCTAAGAAGAGTGGTTCGCGTCAAAGCATCCTACTACTCCCGTATCCCAAACACGGAAGTTATGCGCAAAGCAGGATATCCAACCCTACCATCCACACACATCCTCAACGCCCAGCATCAAACCCTTAAACAAGTATTTATGGCCCCCAGAGCGGAACCAACACATAGTGTGGTTTTACAGCTGCCTTTAAGGACCGTATTCTAGCACAAGGAAGACGTCGCGGAATGCAGATACCATACTGGTTAGAAGTCCTCACTAAAAGATTTTATCCGCAGTATTGGGATCCTGACCACACCGCCCGTACCCGCACCCTAGGCGCACACTAGGCCCACACTTCAAGTATGTCGAAATAGCTAGGGTCATTCGGGAGTCAGACAGTTCCGGGAGGGCGCCAAAGCGCGCAGCTGCATCGCGCGCACGGCCCTGACAAAAAAAAACCCTAACTAAACCCTAAACCGAAACCCCTCTTCAACCCTAACCCTAAACCCTAGGCCCTAAACCCTGTAACTTGAGTCTGCCTTGTGCTTGCACAGCTCTTCCGCCATCTTCCGCGCATCGCGCGCCACGTCGTTGACCACCACGATTCGATGCCAGGACTCGGCCTGCCAGGGTTTAGGGTTTAGGGTTTAGGGCTTAGGGCTTAGGGCTTAGGGTTTAGGGTTTAGGGTTTAGGGTTTAGGGCTTAGGGTTTAGGGTTTAGGGTTTAGGGTTTAGGGTCGAGGGTACTCAGGTGGAAGGGGGTCGGGTTCTTAGATTGAGGGTTAGGGTCCAGGTTGCTTAGGATTCTTAGGGAGTTTCGGCTTTCGGTTATTGGGTTTTGGGTGTTCAGGGTTGCATGGTGCCAAGCCCCCCAGAAATATCCGGGAGCCTCTCCCGAAACCCCAAACCCTAAACCCTGAACCCTGAACCCTGAACCCTGAACCCTAAACCCTAAACCCTAAACCCTAAACCCTAAACCCTAAACCCTAAACCCTAAGTGGCTCTCCCCCACCTGCTCCAACTCTGGACAGCCGGCGCATAGATCACTCAGCTGGGCAGTGGTGCCTTCCGTTTCGGTTTAGGGTTTAGAGATTCGGGAACCCATGATTCTGGAAGCGAACAACTTCCTGAGAAAGAAGGCCGCTTCCGACATGACCCCCCCCCCCCCCCCCCCACCCAAAAAAACAAAAAATCCCTGAATGCCATGTTCAGGGTTTAGGGTTTAGGGTTTAAGGTTTAGGGTTTGGGGTTCAGAATTTCCAGAAGCCGCCCCTTCACGCTAGCCTTTTCCAGCGATGCATTCGGAGGCCGGCATCAGCGCCGACCCATCGCCCGTGGACTGCAGCAGCACCTGGGCGTCTCTTACATGGGAGCAATCCCCTCCCCCAAATATTAACACCCCACCCCCCCCCCTCCAACCCCCTAATATAAAATACTGCCCTATACTACAGTGGCACTACTGTAAAAAAGGGAGGGGGAGCATGGTTTTTTGGGGGGTATCAGGACGGACCGCGAGAAGGGACCCTTTGAATTATTCCCCTGTGTAACACCTTGTATATAGCCCCTAGATGCCTAAGTAGCCGGCCCCTTAGAAAGGCCCCTCCTTGAGTGCGACTTCCTCAGCGCATCAACTTGAAGCAGGCAGCTAGAAGACAAAGGGCTAGTCACGGCTCGTTCCCTACATCGTGATCCCTTAACATTAAGCCCAAAAAAGGGCCGGTTGAAACACCTCCCCCCCCCCCACCCCTCCCCCCACCAGATACTCTTCTCTAGGTCCCCCCCCATTAATGGAGCCGTTAGGCCCTTATTAAGGGGTTCCTTTGGGGGTTAGGTAGGGGATACTCTGCAGTAAGTGAAAAGTGAGCACAGCGAAGGCTACACTCCTTCCCAACCAATGATTCGAGAAAGTAACTACGAGTACGAAGAAAGTGATCCTAGACAAACATGCAAGATGAAAGCTCATATGGTACCACAATTTCCCCTCCCACCGAAAACTTAAACGCTCAACCTCGTTCGAGTCGAGCGGCTTTGTTCGCGCGAGACACTTCGACACCTCTGCACCACAGCGCGGAGTGATGAAATTTGGGCATTTCGGAGTGAACCGCCACCTCACAGCCCCTGGCCCTCGACCTGAACCCGTTCAGCCCTAAACGAACCCCTCCTACACAACCCCAAGCCCTAAACTCTAGACTGGAGTGGTTTTGGGGCTTTGGGAGAGGGGGAGGGGGATATGTACACGTGCTCCGCCTCTTTCTGTCTCCTGCCACCGAAGCGAGCCCAGGGCCTGCAGGGTTTAGGGTTTAGGCACCATCGCAGAGGGGCTGGTGGTGATTCGGACTTAGGGGGTTTAGGACGTAGGGTTTGGGGACTTAGGGTGAAGAGGGTGCACTAGGGTGAAAAGGGTTTAGGGTTTTGGAGGGTGAGCGGAGCTGCTGGCTTTACTGATCCTCATGGTTTCCATAAGCGCTCAGGCCAGACATTTGACCAGCACGGCTTGCTTGTCCCTTTTTCTCTTTTCTTTATTTCGCTACGTTCAGCACTCTATTGGGGGGTGGGTGGGGGGTTGAGCCCTCTCTCTCTCTCTCACTCTCTCTCATCTATATATATATATATACAAATGAATAAATAAGTAGCTTTAAATATTTAATATATATATATATGTACACACATACATATTAGCATGTATATGGTTCAGGTTGCCAGTGCTCATATGACGGCCCAGCCTTGGCAGGCAACCGGGCCGTAAAGGATCGGTACCGGGTATCTCCCACAGTCCTGGTTGAGGGAGCGTAGGGCTTCATGGGGTTTTGGGTTTTGGGGTTTAGGGGTTTAGGGGTTTAGGGGCTTAGGGGTTTAGGGGTTTAGGGGTTTAGGTGTTTAGGGGTTTAGGGGTTTAGGGGTTTAGGGGTTTTTAGGGGTTTAGGGGTTTAGGGGTTTAGGGGTTTTAGGGGTTTTAGGGTTTTAGGGGTTTAGGGGTTTAGGGGTTTAGGGGTTTAGGGGTTTAGGGTTTTAGGGGTTTAGGGGTTTAGGGGTTTAGGGGTTTTAGGGGTTTATGGGGTTTTAGGGGTTTAGGGGTTTAGGCGCTAGGGCTTTGGAGGGTAAGGCCCCGATCCCAACTTGATGCTTGGGGCGCCATTGGCAACCACAGCACGCGGCCAGCTCTGCAAGTTGGAGTTCGTGCTTTGGGAACCCTAAATCCTAAACCCTAAACCCTAAACCCTCAAAAAGGGGCCGTACCGTAACAGGGACCTTGAATTCAGAGAGCCGATCACGTCGTAATGGGCAGTGGGTGGCCTCAAAACTGTGCCCCTGTCCTCATCTCCTTCTCCTGTGGGATGTTCAGGTACCTTACCCAGACTTTAGGTTTAGGGTGTAGGGTTTAGGGTGTAGGGTTTAGGGTTTAGGGTGCCCAAAGACGAAGTTCAGTTGGGCTCCGAATGGCTGAACTCACACGAGTCTTATACGGACCCTTGAAGGGGACCGGCACGTTTGAGGTTTAGAGTTTTGGGTTTAGGGGAAAAGTTTCGGGCCTATGGTGTAAGGTTTACCCAAAAGCACAGGGCGAGGCAAGCGCGCGCCTTTCCAGTTGACCCAAGGCGCTCGTGTATCCTTGAGAGGGCGATGAACTCGAACTGCGCTCCCGTAGCAGCCTCTTCAAGAGGGAGAATGGCTGCTTGCTGCTCATGTTTAGGCAGTATCGCTGTTCTTCCTACTAACCCTAAACCAGTGGGCATTTTTGGCTGAGAGTTGGGGGTTGTGGGGGGGGGGGGGGGGGGGGGGCCCTTTGGGCGGAGTTTTTGGGCTGAGGGTTGCTTAAGCTGCTAGAGCATCCTGACCTTGGACGCCCTCTGCCCTAAACCTGTCAGCGTGTAGGCTTAGGGTTCTTAGGGCTTTTTGGGTGAATAGGGTTTATGGGGTGTACTGAATTTGCAGTTTTATAGGGTGTATAGGGTTTAAGGTGTGTAGGCTTTGGGGTTCCGGAAGGGGGAGGGGGGGCAGGGGGAGGGTGGTTGTCACAGGGCCCCCAAACCCTAAACATAACACACCCTTATGCCTAAATCCCTGAACAGGGGTTTGGGGATTAGGGGCTTATAGGGCCCACGCGAAACATGCCAAAATCCTATGACAATTGTAAATTGTGAAAAAACCCTTTGCAGCCCTCGCCAAGCCCTGATTTGCCCAAAAGGCCCCAGGAGAAGGTCTGGAAAAAAAGGTGCCCCAAAGAAGCCCCCAAAAAGCTCTGGAAATCCGAAAGGTCAGCGTTGCGGGTTGAAGGCGTATGGTTTTGGGCTTAGGGAAGGTCTTGGGAAGACAACCACAGCCTGTCACTTCCCGCTGGGAGCAACATCAGGTGCCTGCACATAACCCGGCGAAAGAGACGCGTACACAAACCCTATGCAGGCTCTACAAACCCTGAACCCTAAACCCCAAAATCCTAACCCTAAACCCCAAAGCCTAAACCCTAAACCCTGAACCCTACACCCTAAACCCTAAACCCTAAACCCTAAACCCTAAACCCTAAACCCTAAACCCTAAACCCTAAACCCTAAACCCTAAACCCTAAACCCTAAACCAAAACAAACCCTATGATGCAAGCCTCGAGGTTGACTTCAATCAGACTCTCAAGCAGGAGCAGATTGGTGAGGCAAAGACCTCGGCTTGGGAGGGTTTAGGGTTTAGGGTTTAGGGTTTAGGGTTTAGGGTTTAGGGTTCAGGGTTTAGGGTTTAGGCTTTGGGGTTTAGGGTTTAGGTTGAGGGGGTTTATGGGGTTTAAGAGGTTTTCGGGTTTTAAGGGGGTGTAAACGGGGTTAAGGGGTTTAAGGGGGTTTGAGGGGGGTTAAGGGGTTTAAGGGGGTTTGAGGGGGGTTAAGGGGTTTAAGGGGTTTGAGGGGTTTAAGGGGTTTAAGGGGATGAAGGGGATTAAGGGGGTTGAGTGGGTTGAGGGCCGTTCGAGGGCTTAGAAGATTGGGTTTCAGGAGTTTAGGGTTCCCTAACAATGACTGCCTATGAGAAACCAACGAACCCGCTCAGCAGACACCATTGTAACCCTCTAAACCCTTTACCCCTAAACCCTAAACCAGCCCTAAACCCTAAACCCTAAACCCTAAACCCTAAACCCTTAACCCTAAACCCTAAACCCTAAACCCTAGCCCTAAACCCTAGACGCTAACCCTAAACCCCAAACCCTACAACCCTTCACCAAGGGGCCAAGGGTTCCAGCACCGATCGACTCGGCATTGAGCAGGCCAACGATGTACATGGAGGTGGTGTAGAAGCCTGAAATGGAGTGGGTTTAGGGTTTAGGGTTTAGGGTTTAGAGTTTAGGGTTTAGGGTGTGGAGTTCAGGGTTGAGGGTGGAGGTTAGAGATAAGAGTGCAGAAGCCTTGGATGCTGGGGGTTCATGGGGGGTAGAAACCTGAAGTAGGCCCTTTCAAATGAATGCTTCGTGTGTAAACTCTGATGATGTCGCCTGTTGTCTGGGCTTGCAGATTGAGGCTTGGCATGTTCCCCCTTATACTGACAGCCCTCAGGGGATTATAATCGGAGGTACTGTCATCCCTACTAAGGACTGTTAGTATAAGGGGGAACATCCCAAATTTAGCAGTTCATATGCCTCTGGGACCTCCAGCCCGTAATCGGAACTTGTTTTGGGCGGCGGTTGGGTGAGGGATGTTGTCGACAGGCGATCTGACCCCTTGAGCTCTGAGTCCGAAACCGAACAACAATTTAGTTTAGGGTTTAGGGTTTAGGGTTCAGGGTTCAGGGTTTAGGGTTTAGGGTTTAAAGGGTTCCACAACTTCTGAAACTCTAGAGGGTTTGAACCCTGAAGTCCTCAACATCTGCATTCGTCGGTGGGTGTGTTTACGACAGGGGGGAGGAGATCGTGGCGTAAATATACCGGGGCTCACTTGGTTCCTTGTGGGATCTTGTAGGGAATTAACTGATACGAAGGTTCCCGAGGGCGAAGAGGGCACGAACTATTCAGGGGTCAGGTTATCGGTTGGGGAGGGTTTAGGGCTTAGGGTTAAAACCCTAAACCCTAAACCCTAAACCCTAAACCCTAAATTCAACTTGGGGTTTACGAAGTAGTTTCAGAGTCGAAGCCCCCTGGAGTGCAAGGGCCAGGGGCTCCAAAGGAAGATGACGCGGTTCACCAGCCATCTCCTGTCAGCCAGGGTTTTGGGGTTTGGGGTTTAGGGTTTAGAGTGTAGGGTTTAGGATTGGGGGGGTTTAGGGTTTAGGGTGTAGGGTTGGGGGGGCTTAGGATTCAGAAATCCTAAAATTTCGGGGCCCAAAACGCAGCCTCTGAGCAGCAAGACCGGAGTCAGAGTCCTAGACCTGTGAGCAGGATGCTTCTTACCCAGAGAGCACATTTGGATCTACTCCATAATGGCACTGCAAGGCCTTTGGGTCATAACTGCCTAAACTCTAAACCCCCTAAACCCTAAACCCTAAACCCTAAACCCTAAACCCTAAACCCTAAACCCTAAACCCCACCGGCATAGCGGGTCAACGGGGGACCTATAGGTACAACCTGAAGGAAACCAGAGACCGCCATGGGGCTGTCAACCGACTGCGAGTCCAGCCCCCTAAACTCTACAGATGTAGAGCTCAAGGCTTAAGTAAACCCTAAACCCTAAACCCTAAACCCTAAACCCTAAACCCTAAACCCTAAACCCATAACTATGGGTTTGAGGCTCAGCAGACTGAGGCTGCAGGCTTTCAAGGGTTCTTCGGGCTGTAGGGGGTTTCGGGTCTCAATACCATTTACAACCACCAGATGCCCCCAAAACCCTGACTACCAAAAATCGCCTGAACCCTAAACCCTAAACCTCAAACCCTAATTCGCCTAAACCCTAAACCCTAAGCCCCCAAAAAAGGCGCCTCAAAACGCGGTCTCCCAAAAGGCCGGCTTTCAGCTGGTTGTCCATAGCGTCACACATCTCCATGGAGATTCGATCCTCGCGGTTTAGGGTTCAGGCTTCAAGTTCCTTTAGGGCTTAGGGTTTAGGGTTTAGGGTTTAGGGTTGAGGGTTAACCCTCAACAAAAACCACCCAAAAAACCCTCTGCGGATATTGCAAACACCCAACTTCTCGCCTTCCGTTTTCGCAAAGCCCTGAACTCTGAAGCCAGGATCCTGGTCGCGATAGGCCCGAATCACCACATTGTTGCTCATGACATCGGAGATCAAGCTGTTCACATCTGAACGCGCGGTGGACATACAGTACCGCAAAGGCACCGTGGTGTTCCAGTATCCTTGTTTAAAGGCAGAACCCTAAACCCTAAACCCTAAACCCTAAGAGATGTTTAGGGTCTGTAGGAGTTGGCTTGGCATCTTAGCCACGGAGCCATACATGATGCGCCCGCACAAATGCACTATCCTGGAGATCCTTGAATGGGACCAACACCCTGTTTAGGGTTTAGGGTTTAGGGTTAGGGTTTAGGGTTTCGGGTTTAGGGTCCACCTTCGGGTTGCCAGGCGGCTCATGCAGAGAGTCCAGATGAGGTAGTAGAAGGGAATCGCCAGGAAGGTGACTACTAGAGGGAGGATCGTGTGCACGTAGATCAAGGGGATGAGGGTCTGGTACACGATGGCAATGGTCCCAGTGGCCTTCATGTACCTGAGATGCTTCCTGACATGTAGGGCCCTAAACCCTAAACCCTAAACCCTAAACCCTAAACCCTAAACCCTAAACCCTAAACCCTAAACCCTAAACCCTAAACCCTAAACCCTGAGGATGCGGGGCTGAAGGAAAGCATCCGGGTCGCAGGTAGAGGTCGACAACGACCAGGTCGGCTGACATGCGGTTCATGATCCGGCCCACAGGATGCTTGTCCTAGCTTATAGGGTTTAGGGTTTAGGGTTTAGGGTATAGGGTTTAGGGTTTAGGGTTATTAAGTACCAGGATGCTTGTCCTAGCTTGGACCCGGTTGAACTCGGAGGGCTGAGGGTGTAGGGTTGAGAGAGGCTGGGGCCTTTAGGGTTTAGGGTTTAGGGTTTAGGGTTTAGGGTTTAGGGTTTTCCAAATTCAACATCTGCTTAAACCCCCCCACAAGGGACAGAGGCAACAAAAAATGATCCCAAGATCCGACGGTGAGTCGAAGAACCGGTCGATGGGCGCCTTGAGAATCCTTTTCAGCACGTCTCCGTGGATTTGGGCCGAGATTCCTTGCCGGTGCTTGCGGACCCTTCATTAAGAACCAACACCGGGATGTTCCCCCATTAGACTAACAGTCCTGAATAGGGATTCTAGCAGCCCCTTTTGGAATCCCCATTAAGGACTGCTAGTATAAGGGGGAACATCCCAAGCAAGCAGCGAAGAATCACAACTACTTGAGAGCTCTAATGTGAGGAACACATCTACCCTAAACCCTAAACCCTAAACCCTAAACCCTAAACCCTAAACCCTAAACCCTAAACCCTACACCCTAAACCCTAAACCCTAAACCGTGGCCGAGGCGCGGAGTGTGAACTGCTGGCCAAAATGCCAGCACACCACCCAGAACAGCGTCCCGGCCCCGAGCCAAAAGAGGTACCTTGCTTGTCTGAGTGGTTCTTACCCAAGGGCTTAGGGTTTAGGGTTTAGGGTTTAGGGTTTACTTCCCGACCTCCCTAGTAAAAAGTGATTACTAGGGAAGTAGGTGCCGCAATAATTCTTTGAAATGTTCTAAACAGGCGGGCGGGGGAACGCCACATTCCAAAACATGTTTATGCTTGTAGCTGCCTGCAGAGGACTCCCTTTCTATCTTTGTTACCCTAAACCCTTAAAGGGAACGAGCACAGGTGCCCAGTCAGGTAGGGCCGGTCGTCAATCTCGGGGTGCACTGCCATTGTGTTCGTCCAGTGGGCCAGCACGAGGTCACAAAGCAAGTACCTTCGAAATAAGGTTATGGGTGTAGGGAATAGGGTTTAGGGTTTAGGGTTGAGGTTCTGGGGTTTACGGTTTGAGGTTGTAGGGTTCTAGGGTTGTAGGGTACATGGCTAAGGGTTTCGGGTTTAGGTCCAACGGTCACGAAACCAAAGATCTCCGACTCAGGTTGGGGGGGAGGGGGGCCTGGCCGTTCAAGAATTTAGGGTTTTAGGGTTTAGGGTTTACAGCTTAGGGTTTAGGACTTAGGGTTTAGGGTTTAAGGTTCAGTGTTCAGGGCTTCGGGGCTTTTAGGGTTCAAGACTTAGATTTTGGGCTTTAGAGCTTCGGGGTGGGGATGCATGTATAAACGCATGGTCTGTTGTGGGAGAGAGGAACGTTTCATGTAGATAGAATACAGGAAAAAGTTTTTCACAGATTTCCACGAATTCCTTAAGGGCTTAAGAAAGCTGGAGTTTCTAGCACGGGCTATCCGGATCCACGATGGAATCTGAAGCTCAGGCACGAGACCCCCCAAAGCTTTAAACTCAAAACCCTAGACCCTAAACCCGCAAGCGCCCTCAACACACTCAACCCAAGGTACAGGTAGATCTGCATGAAGAACACCAGGCAGGTGTTCAGAATGTTCCTCCACCGGCCCACCCGGCAGTAGTGCTTCACCTGAGATGTTCGTGCTGAGTTTGGGTTCCTAGGGTTTAAGGCTACAGGGTTTAGGGTTTAGGGTTCCAAGGTTTAGGGTTTAGGGCTACAGGGCTTCGGGCTGAAATGGTTTAGGGTTTAGTCGGTTTAGGGTCTAAGTTTGGAGTGGGGAAGAAAAGCAACTCCACAAGGGGATGCTCACTCCTCCACTCCCCTAGCACCGGCTCAGGGTCCCCTGGGCCCCAAACCCCCACAGCCCGAAAAAAACGCCGATACTCAAGCCCGACTTCGTATGATCCCTGAGCTTTCTCAGCCCAGGCCGCCGCCACTTCTATCCGCGACTGCTACTACTACTCCCGCTCTTATAAGTTGCTTCCGAATCTCAAGCTCTACTAAGGGCCACAAGCCAGCCTGAACCTTACTCACCCTACTCACCCCAAACCCCAAAGCCCAAACCCTAAAGCCTGAAAGCCCAAAACCCTAAACCCTAAACCCCCTGAACCCCTAAGCCCCAAAAGCCCTCAACCCCTAAACAAGGTATGCTTCGAGGCGCCATCTCCCAGGTGGGCCTCCCTTGGGCCTCCTCCTCGCGGAGGCTGCTGGCCGTGCTACTGCTGGCCGGCTTGTGGCTCGCCTCGGGGTGTAGGGCTGGTAAGCTTTAGGGTTTTCAAGGGTTTTAAAGGGTTTTAAAGGGTTTAAAAGGATTTTAAAGGTTTTTGAAGGGTTTCAAAGGGTTTTAAAGGCGTTAAACGGGTTCAAAGGGTTGAAAAAGAGCTTTAAGGGCTCCAAGGGTTTTAAAGGGATTCGGGTTGCTATTTGGAGTCCTGTAAGTAGACCCTTAATCCTAAACCCTTAATCCTAAACCCTTGATCCTAAAACCCTTAATCCTAAACCCTAAACCCTAAACCCACTTCTTCCCGCTCAATGCCTTGGCATCCTCTTCCTTTGCGGACTCGGGCGAGCCGTCGTCCAGGATGTGGCCTGAAGGCTGCAGGGCTCAAAGGCTGAGAGGGCTTAGAGAAGAGGGTTTAGGGTTTCGGGTTTAGGGTTTAGGGCTTAGGGTTTAGGGTTTAGGGTTTAGGGTTTAGGGTTTAGGGTTTAGGGTTTAGGGTTTAGGGCTTAGGGTTGCGCGTTCCAGGGGCCTCATCCCTGGGAACCGAAGGACGGAGCCACGTAGTTCTAATCTCGTGCTTATGGGGGGCGTTGTCAGAAGAGTTGCATGGTCCCTTAGTATGGCCCTTACATGGGGACCCCTTATGTACCACTTAAAAATCCTATAGAACCCAAAGGCCAATACTTCAGAACCCAATAAAGAAGGTAAGGGAGCATATTATTAAGGGACCATGCAAGTACCCTTAAAGGCATCGAAGGCCTACGGAGTTTATGCTGTAAAGGGCTTCTGGGGCATAAACAGGTGTAGCGTTGTAAGGCTCATGGGCGAAACTCTCTGTATTATTTCTAGTACTTTTTTGGGGCCTAGGCTACGAATCGGGGTCCCTCTAAATCCGAAAACCTGTGCCCGAAACCCTCAATCCTGCACTGTGCTTGCTTTTGGGGAAGCTTAAGCCCTCAGCGCCCCAAGGTGAAAGCCCAGTGTTCAGGATCTAGGGTTTAATGCGACTCGACCCTGAAACTGCAGTTGAAGCAGGGTCTGTAGAGCACTCGTCCCCTCCCACCAATAATTAACCCTACTCCCATGATAATTATCGTGCTGTTATAGTATAGACAGTATAGGGGGGCATTGAATATTGGACAGTAGGGGGGTGTTTGAAAATTTTAGGGGAAGGAATTCATCCCTGAACACGCAAATGGATTTGGGACAGGGATCTTGACTCCGTCGCCGCGGTTTGCAGGAGGTCTTTGTAGGCCTGCGTCTGCATCACCTGCGCGAAAGACTACATTCCTTAGTAAGGAATATACAACCCCCCCTACTAGAATCCCTACTAAGGACTAAAGGGGGAAACATCCCAATTTTTAGCAGTTCTTTCCTTCATTTTTGAGGCTTTTGGTGGCTTAGGGCTTCGGGGCTCTGTGGTCCGTCGAGGAGCGTGGGAGTTTCGCAGCTAAAGCAAACAAACATCCTGCCTTCTCAGGTATGCCGTTCTCAATGATGCGCCCGCCTTTGAGGACCTCAGCTAGGTGGAGCGCGGGCCGCTACGTCCCAATCCCAGCAAAGACCAAGTTGGCCCCTAAGCACCCAAACCCCTAAACTAGAGCTACAGGTTGGCACCCCAAAGCTTCCCTTTGTGTTTTAGAAGCTGCAGAAACCGAAAACTCACGTCTTCGCCGGTTGGGGTTGTTTCTTTCGGGCTTCGGATGCCCCACAGTGATGGCAAGCAGGTCACGACCACCCGGTCGAACTTCTTGATCCGTTCTGCGTCCGGTTGCAGCACCACCACCTCAGATTCAACTCTTGGGTCTCGTAGGTTTAGGGTTTAGGGTTTAGGGTTTAGGGTTTAAGGTCTAGGGTTTAGGGTTTACGGTTTAAGGTTTAAGGTTTCAGCTTCATAGGGTTCAGGGTTGCAAGCCAACCCCGAACCGCCCCCCAAGTCCCAGAGAAGCTTTCTCCTTCCAGCCAGTAGTGCAACGAAGCTGAAGGCAGCTGGTTTAGGGTTTTGGGTTTAGGGCAAGCTTTCAGGGTTCCCGGGGTTTCGAAAAAAGTCTTGGGTTGTAGATACCTAGGCCCTAAGACAACCTAGGTCTCCCCTAAAACCCTAAAACCCTAAAACCCTAAAACCCTAAACCCTAACACCCTAAAACCCTAACACCCTAAAACCCTAAAACCCCAAAACCCTAAAACCCTAAAACCCTGAAACCCTAAAACCCTAACACCCTAACACCCTAAAACCCTAAAACCCTAAAACCCTTAAACCCTAAAACCCTAAACCCTAAGCCCTAAACCCTAAACCCTAAACGTAGGTCTTCAAGATCCCAAGCCCCTGCATCACATCGCTCCAAGCCGCTCGGGTCTTCGACTGTAGGAGCGGTCCCAAGAGCAGCCTCGAAGGTTACTTCAAGGTGTAAATGTCAAGTTTCTGTAGGGTTTAGGGTTTAGGGTTTAGGGTTTAGGGTTTAGGGTTTAGGGTTTAGGGTTTAGGGTTTAGGGTTTAGGGTTTAGGGTTTAGGGTTTCGGTGACCCAAGAGTATCCTAGGAACAAAGAGGGTGCCCTTTTTGGGGTTGAAGGGGCTTCTAAGGGGAACCGAAGCCCCAACCACAGGGAATAGGAGGCGACTCTGGGTCCTAGATGGGTGGTTGTCAAAATTATGATCCCTTTTGGGTGTAGGGTTTAGGGTTTAGGGTTTAGAGTTTACGGTTTAGGGTTAGGGTTTAGCGTTTAGGGCTTAGGGTTTAGGGTCCTAAACCCTAAATATTCGGTGCCGTACTATGATAGGGATCCAAAAAGGGACCATCATTTTGACGACCACCCAGATAGGGCTAGCTCCAAGATTTCGCAGGTGGGCCGGGGACGTACAGACCCAGGGATCATGGTTTGGGGTTGAGGGTCTAGAAGCCTAGGGATTTTATAGGCCTAACCCTACACCCTAAACCCTAAACCCCAAACCCTAAACCCTAGACCCTCGACCCTAAACCCTAAACCCCAGACCCTAAACCCTAAACCCCAAACCCAAAACGCTTATACCCTTTTACCCGAAACCTAAAACCATAGGCCACACCCCGTGGCCTGTCCAGCAGCAGCATGGCAGTGGGTGCATCCACCGCGCCAAAGGGGTCATCCAGCAACACCAGCTCAGCGTACCTCAGGAAAATTAGCTGCAGCTGGGCTTCTGGGGATCAGGGTTTAGCCCTAAACCCTCAACCCTAAACCCTAAACCCCTAAACCCTAAACCCTGAACATAGCTGCAGCTAGGGGTTCTAGGGAGTAGGGTTTAGAGTCTAGGGTTTGGGGTGTAGGGTTTAGGGTTTGGGGTGGTACGTGAGAAGAGTCGTTTCTTCTGTGCAAAGCCTCTCTATGTGACCTAGGGCACGAAGCCACCAGGAAGAATCAGAAGAGCAAGAACACAGCAACTGGTGAGAAAACTTTGTAGATGCCCTATGCCACTCTAACTCCCCCTAAACCCTAAACCCTAAACCCCCAAACCCCCAAACCCCCAAACCCCCAAACCCCCAAACCCCCAAACCCCCAAACCCGCAAACCCGCAAACCCTAACTCTAAGGTCGGGCTGCTGGTGGTAGGCTGCCCGCGCCATGGAGATGCGGGCGCGCTGACCGCCCGAGAGCGCCACGCCTCTGCTCCCTGGCAGGCTGGACTGTAGGGTTCAGGGCGTAATATAGGAGCCTAAAAAAATTGGAATAGGGTTTTGGGGGGGCTATAAAAAAAATGATAAAGGGACCATAAGGAAATGCTGTTAGTAGTTATACTCATCCCTATAGTGTAGGGCTGATAGGGTTTAAGGGCTTCCCTGAGCCATCTTCGGCAACTGCTTCCCTGGCTCGAAGGCGACCTTGGGATTCGAACCCTAAAACTCCAAAACCCTAAAGGCCTGAAGGCCCGGAACCCTAAACCCCCAATAACCCCAGTGAAACCCCAAACCTCGAATTTGCCCCGATAACTGCCAGTACATGCAGGCAACGAGGTCTCTCCAAAGCTTCTGCATGATGAAACAAGTTTGGAGGCTTTGGGGGTTATGCCATCATTTGTAAGAAAAGGGAATATCTAATATGAGGAGGGTGCTAGTGAGGGGGTGAGGGGATTGCGGGCATGAGCTGGCAAACTTCAGCCGGAGATTCCGATTGGGACGCGGTCTCCGCCCGGAAAAAGTTTCAAGTCTCCTCCGGGCCCACTGGGGATGGGGGGGGGGGGGGGGGTGCCTTGCTATAAACTCCGAGAAGCGACGCATGGTAACTTCTATACATTAGGGTGGGGTCCTGAGAGTAAGGGCCCCTCTTATTTAGGGTACCAAAAAGGGAGCAACATTTGAGAACTGACCATATAGTCCGACGCGTTGATGGGTAGTGGTGTGACGCGACATGTAGCCAACATGCTCTGGCTTTCAGGCTCAGGGCTTTAGAAGATTGAGGAGGCAGGATTGTCAGGCAGCTCAGTCCTAAACCCTAAACCCCAAACCCTAAACCCTAAACCCGAAACCGCATGAAACCGCAGCACTTAAGACTAAGAAGCCCTGCAGAAGTCCTTCGAGCGCAGCTGCTCGGATTGCAGCATTGTAGCGATCCTGCTGGCGAATTCCCACTATTGCCCGGGTTAAGTCTAAACCCTAAACCCTAAACCCTAAACCCTAAACCCTAAACCCTAAACCCTACAAAAAGGGCCGCAAGGTAGTCCTACCTTGGAGCTATCGAAGAAAACCCCAGTTCAGTAGGACGTTTTGTGGGGGGCATGGAATTCCATGACCATCACGGTGATTTTCAACATGGGGTCCTTTAGGAAGCATGCAAGAACCGTCGTTCGGTTTAGGCAAGAGCTAGTTGGGGTTTAGGGCTTAAAGTTTAGGGTCTTAGGGTGCTATTTTTGTTAATGTAGAGGGTTCGGGTTCGATGTGTTGGGCTTAGGGTTTAGAGCTTAGGGTTGTGAGCTGCTCAGGAGTGAGTAGGGTAGATCGGGTTCAGGGCTTAGGGTTCAAAGGGCTTAGGTGGGGGGGGGTCTGAGTTTAGAGTTTAGTATAGTAGCTTGGCATCTTGCACACTAGTCCTCAACTCCCAAGACCGAGATCCCCAACGCCGGAAAACGTGTCAATACCCGTATGGACACCAACCCCATAACACCCAAGCCGACGCCGTCTACCTGGCCTGAACCCTTCACAGCTTCCCTAGACCCTAAACCCTAAACCCTAAACCCTAAACCCTAAACCCTAAACCCTAAACCCTAAGTCATCCTGAGACTGCCTGGCCGAGTCTGGGGGGCCTCCATCGGCTCCTGGCCGAAGATCACATTCTCTCGCAGGGTGCCTTCCGCAATGTGCGGGATCTGCGAACCTGGGCCGCAAGAGACGTCTGGGCCATGGGTTGAGGGTTGAGGGTTCAGGGTTGAGGGTTGAGGGTTGAGGGTTGAGGGTTTCGGGTTTAAGGTTTAGGGCTTCGGGCTTAGGGCTTGGGGAGCAGGGTTTAATGCTTAGGGCTCTGGATTTAGGGCTCAGTTTGTTTTTCCAATGGTTCTTGGCAGCTTAGGAAGGAACCGGAGTAATGAGTACAATGTGGTCCTCCTTCTCAAAGATGCAACAAGATGCTCATGATTGATACCCGCTCCCTCAAGCCCTCGACCTAATACCCTAACCCCCTCGACCATAGTCCACATGAAGTCGTCGACATGCGGAGCTCGAAAGGAGGACCTATAGAATGCAGGTCTTAGGCTCTTGTAAGATAATCTCTAAACCATGCTAGGGTTTGGGGATTCAAGCCCACGAAGTGGTATCGAGACCATTCCATCCACACGTAGATGCTCTCGGTTCAACTGCTTAACTGGGTTTAGATGTAACCCTAAACCCTAAAGACTAAACCCTGAACCTTAAACCCTAAGCCCCAGGTCGTGACGGATGTGCACGTGTCCACATGCGGACTTGGGAGCAGTAAGCCACCACATCAGGCCTGCTGATGTTGGCCTCCTTGCCGTTCCTCAGTCGGGTGTGACGGGACCGACATTCTGGGAGAGCCCCAAACTTAATCCGAAGACAACAGCGGGCAAAGGATGAGAGCCTGTGCGTGACATCATCTAATAAAATGGAGGCCCCCAATGCCCTGCATTTGTTGTTTGAGGGTCTGGGTTTTCTCCAAAAAGGCCAGAAGTTTGAGGCACTAACTCTAACCAAAGCCACTCCGGGTACAGCTCCCCGAGGATGGCCTTCGCTGAGGGTTTAGGGTTTAGGGTTTAGGGTTTAGGGTTCAGGGTTCAGGGTTCAGGGTTCAGGGTTCATTCAAGGTTCAGGGTTTTAGGGTGCAGGGTTTCGAGCGCAGACCAATGGCCCCGCGCAGGTCATGCAAAGGAAGCACCCAGATTCAGCATGCTAACGTTGGGGTTCGGGGTTTCGGGGGTTCGGGCTTAGGGTTTAGGTTTAGGGGTTAGGGTTTAGTGGGGTTTAGCGGTTTCGGGGCTGGGTTTTCGGGGCTTGGGGCTTAGGAACTTGATAGTGTCGTTTGTGTGAAGTCAAGGATGCGGTGGCCCCCAAGCCGACGGCCTGATGGTTTAGGGTTTAGGGTTTAGGGTTTAGGGTTTAGGGTTCATTGGGTGTCCCCACAGAAAAAAGGACTATAATTACATATACCCCTTAAACCCGAAACCCGAAACCCTAAACCCTAAACTTAAAACCCTAATCCCTATGTTCTTTTCGAGGCACAGTCGGCTCGGGGCCTACATGGAACCGAGGAAACGACACAAGGAGAGCTCGACTGCCCAGAGGTGGTTGGGGTTCAGGGTTTAGGGTTCAGGGTTTAGGGTTCAGGGTTCAGGGTTCAGGGTTTAGGGTTCAGGGTTTAGGGTTTAGGGTTTGGGGGAATCAGAAATCAGAAGCCGGTGCCCCAAAAACCATACTAAACAGGGTCTTTGGGCAAGCAGCTGTAGAACCCAAACGGTCCATGTACCCAACTCGTGGACCCAAAAGGGAGGGCCCAAGACTTCCCCCATAAGAGGACCCGAACCTATGGGTAGTTTCTCAGAGCCCGGAAGGGTTTGGGGTTTAGGGAAGCCCCTGGACCCAAAACAAAGAAGTCCTCTAATAGAATATAGGGGCCTGAATACTTAGAATAGGGTTTTGGAGGTTGTTATCGCATTAAAAAAAGGGGAATATAGGGGCCTGAATACTTAGAAGAGGGCTTTGGAGGTTGTTATAGTATACAAAAAAGGGGGCCAGAAGGGAAAACCGACAGGTTGTTATACTATACAAACAAAGGGGGCCAAGAGGGACAACCGACCCCTATAGTAACCCTATCTGCGGGCCTGCAAGAGCGTGCTCTTGCCCGCGCCCACGGCCCCCACGACGGCTAGAAGCTCCCCACGGCCAACCTTTCCAGGTTCAGGATGAGGATTTCGGGTTTAGGGCTTAGGGCTTAGGGTTTCTGGTTTATGTGGTCTAGGAGTTTAGGATTTCTGGCTGGTTCAGGGTTCAGGGTTTAGGATTTCTGGTTTTCTGGGTTTAGGGTCTAGGGTTGTGCTTAGGGGTCTCGTTTGGGTTAAGTGGAGGGTTAGGGTTCGGGGTGATTCCGGGGTTGCGATTGCTTTGTGGGATGTATAGATACTCAAGGTTTAGGGGGAGTTTCGGGCAACTAATCCTCGAGGTCCTCTAGGTTGCCCCGGCTACTTGATACAACTCTCCTCATAAGTTCTCTCAGACACCGAAAGCCCTAAGTCTGGGAGCATTCGGGCTTAAGGCGAAGCTCCCACGGGGGTTCGAGTTCACATCGCAGTGCTCCACATCACAAGCTGACACCCAAAACACCTTGAGCTCAAACGCTAAACACCCCGAGCTGCTAAGTTTAGAGTTTAGGGTGTTAGGGACCCCAGGTCCTAGTGACTAAGCCTTACATAAGCCCTAAACCATCAACCCTTGCCTTGAGGTCCAGGTCGTGTAGCACTGACGGGGCGTCCTGGCCATGTTCAGGACGCAACAGGGTTTAGGGCCGGGACGTTCCCCCTTATACCTAACAGTCCCTAGTAGGGATTATAATAGGGGGAACCCTAAACCCTAAACCATAAACCCTAAACCTTAACCCTAAACCCTAAACCCTAGACCCCCTATTAAGGACTGTTCGTACGTATGAAGGGGAACATCCCCAGTTTAGGGTCGAAGGTTGTTTGTTGCAGTCGTCACACCTGGGTTTAGGGTTCGGGGGTTTAGGGTCCAGGCTAGACACCTTAAAGGCACTTTTTGTTACCGCAGGAACTCCAAACCCTATTTTTTGGGGGGGGTTCAGGTTTAGGTGTTAAGGTTTCTTTCGCCCCCCCCCCCCCCCCCCAAAAAAAAAAAAAAGCTGAACCTCCTTACCCCTAAAACCATTTAAAAAACAAAAAAAACTAAAGACCCTAAAGCCCTAAAACCTTTAGAGCCCTACAAACCCTGACAGCCCTTAAAGCCCTCGGAGCACGAGTCAAAACCCCAAAAGCTTTAAAACCCTATTGGCATGAAAGCCTTAAACCCAAAAATCCTACTCCTACACCTCCGAACCCCAAACCCTAAACCCTACATCCCTAACGTCCCCTAAACCTCCCAACCTCCTAAACCCTAAAAGCCCTGAAAGCCCTAAGCCCTAAACCCAACCCTTAAACCTCAAGCCCCTAAAAACCCTAAAAGCCCTGAAACCCCTAACCCCAAAGCCCTAAAACTCCTAAAAACCCTAAGCCTTAAAACTCCTACAACCCTAAGGGCCCCAAACCCCTAAAACCCCTAAGGACCGTAAAGCCCTAAAACTCCTAAAACCCCTAACAACTAAAAGCGCTAAAACCCCGAAGGACCCTAAAGCCCTAAAGCCCTAAACCCAACCCAAAACCCTAAAAACCCTCAAACCCCTGAGGACCCTAAAGCCCTAAACCCAACCTAAACCCTAAAAACCCTCAAAGCCTAAGGACCCTAAAGCCCCTGTGGACACCCCAAAGCCCCTTTAAAAAAACCCAAGGGCCCTAAAGCCCTGAAACCCCGAAACCCCTAAAAAGACCCTAAAACACCCCAAGGACCCTGAAGCCCTGAAACCCCGAAACCCCTAAAAAGGCCCAACAAAAAACCCAAGGACCCTGAAGCCCTGAAACCCCGAAACCCCTGAAAAGGCCCAAAAAAAACCAAGGACCCTGAAGCCCTGAAACCCCGAAACCCCTAAAAAGGCCCAAAAAAAAACCCAAGGACCCTGAAGCCCTGAAACCCTGAAAGACAGATCCTGCGCCCATCGAAAGCTCCCCCGCACCACGAGGCTGGACGGAGCCTGCGGGCTGAGGAAGCCCTGGGGGTGCACGGCGATTTGGGGGTTTGGGGTTTAGGGTTTAGGGTTAGGGTTAGGGTTTAGGGTTTAGGGTTTAGGCTTTAGGGTTTAGGGTTTAGGGTTTAGGGCTTAGGGCTTAGGGCTTCAGGGTTTCAGGGTTTCAGGGTTTCAGGGTTTCAGGGTTTCGGGAGTTAGGGTTTTAGGGCTTCAGGGTTTAGGGGGTAGGGTTTAGGGTTTCAGGGTTTAGGTGTGAGGGCTTTGCGGTTTAGGTTCGGGGGGTTAGGGGGGGGATGTTTTGGTGTTTAGAAGGTTTTCGTGGGGGGGTTAAGGGCTTTAGGGGGCTGGCAGCTCGGCAGTATACAGGTGAGGCTGGTCCGGATAACAAGAAACGACATAGCACAAAACAAACAGAATAGATGCCCTAAGCACTAGCGGCCCGCTACAAGTTCCTTGGGGTTTGGGGCTTGGGGGGCTTTTGGGGCCGCTGCTCGAGCTACAGCTCCCTGAAGAGAATCGGGTTGAGGGTTTATAGGGTTTAGGGTTTAGGGTTTAGGGTTTAGGGTTAGGGTTCAAGGTTCGGGGCTGAGGGTTGATAAAACTATGTTCGGGCGGCGGTGATGAACAACCCCCGCCCCCCTCGACACGCACCCACCAACCATAGACATACTCTGGGAAGTTCGCCCGGGGTCGGAAGCTATTTCTTAACACTCCTTTATTACCGGCGGCGATCTGGCTCATAGGGCTTACGGCCGAAAGCTTTCAGGGTTCAGGGCCCAACGCAAAATGGAGAAGCTCGTTGGACGTTCAGCTCTAATGTTTCTTGGGAACCCTGACAACTGCTTCAAACAGATACAAGTGATATCATATCCTCTACGAAGTCCTAAGTCCTAAGCCCTGGAGCTCTAAACCCTACCTTCTGAGCCCTACGAAAACCTAAAACACTAAACCCCTAGACCCCTACACCCCTAAGCCCCCAAGCTAAACCCCTAAACCCCTAAGTCCCTATACCCCGAAACCCCTAAACCCCAAAACCCCTCAACCCCTCAACCCCAAACCTGTGCTTGGCAGGGCACCACTTTGGCAGACAGCACTGGGCGGTCGGGCTCTAATCGTCCCTGGCTTGGCCAAAGGCCTTGGTAGGAGAAAATCTGGGTTTGGGGCTTCGGGCTTGAAGCCCTAAACCCTAAACCCTAAACCCTAAACTTTTAACCCCTAACCCTAAACCTGAGGGCTTATACTTTATGGCCATCGGCTTCGGCAAGTTTAGGGTTTAGGGGGCTTCGTGGCTGTGTGCAAGCACAACCTCACATTCGCATGCTTCAGGTGGATGTGTCCTATCAATATGCCTCTTCTCGGGAGCGGGGTGTGCTGGGTCTAAGTTAGGTCTTTCTTCCGACCCCAAGGATACTCAACCCTAGGCTAACACCCCAAAAACCCTAAAACCCTAAACCCTAAACTTCCTACACCCAAGCCCTAAACCCCAAACCCCTCAAACCCTTAGCCTCTTAAAACCCTAAACCCTAAATTTCCCGATTCAAGCGCCTAAACCCTAAACTTCCCAAACCCTATCAAAAACCCGAAGCCCTAAAACCCTTAAACCTAATGAAGCCCTGAACCCTAAACTCCTAAACCACATTAAGCCCTCAACCTAACAAGCCCTGTTAAACCCTAACCCTGACGCTTAAACCCCCAAGCCCTAAACCCCTGAAACACTAAACCCAGTTCAACTCCAAACCAGCAAAACCCCCCTCAACCCTGAACCCCTACAACCCCTACAACCCCTAAAGCTTCTAAAACCCCTAAAGCCCGCAAAACCCCTAAAGCCCCTAGCACCCCTAAAGCCCCCCACAGCCCCCTAAACCCCCTGAAGCCCCTCGAGTCCCTAAGGTTGGTCATGTCCGGGATGTACAGGCCGTTGCTCTGCCACCCCTTACAGTGAAAATAATTATCCCATATCATCAAAGTGCAAAAACGATCCATGATTGACATCCGTCTCTTCAAGAGGACGCTCAGAAAAATTCGTTGGTGAGACTCTGGGAGCAAATGAAGAACTGGAACTCGTTGTTTGTCTTAAACCGGATGCATCATGAGGAGAAGTATGTCCTCCATCAAGAGTGGTCTTTCCTCTGATCCGAACCCGCCGCCCTCCAACCACAAGAGGCGCGGATCCCCGCGGCTGAGCTGAAAAAACTGTTTCCGGTTGAGGAGCAACTTGCTCGACAGCATCATGATCATCGATAGACCGCACGACACGCTGCAAAGCCTCCCCGAACTCTGATTCATACATTCTTGCCGAAATCCATCTCTCCGGAGTGGAAGTCCGACGCGAAGACGATGACGATCTGCAAGACTGATGGTTTTTGATGTTGTGACGATTGTCCCACCGAAACTCCTTTCCACATAGAAGACAGCGAATCAACCCATAAGGCGAGCTCCGAGAAACAGAACAATTCCAAGCAACATGATGCCCATTTGCCATCTTGACGACCCCGTTGAAGAGATCGAGAAGGCGATGCGGATTATGTCGAAAGGAAGGCGTAACAAGCCAATACCTCTGTTCGAGCTGTGCCTGCGTGCATCGGCGGTATGAAATCTTTAATCTTCGATGTTTGGTCTCGCGAACATAGATGCCACATTTACGACACCAAACTCCGCCACCCTGCATAGCAACGATGTGATGCCCATTCTCTAAAATAGCTTCCTCGACCACGAGAGATGCCGGTATGGGAACTGTGGAAGCCACGCTGCCAGCGCTGTGAGCTCCAGGCCCAATATCGCCATAAAGATACGACTTAATATGACATTGCCAAATATTGACCAATGTTTGCTGCACCAATATAACATCGGCAGCCAAATCTGCGTCAGCATAACATACGATAGTGGCGTATCGAAAACACGGCTTGGAACGCTGAACCCGCGCTTCAAGATGAGCAATAGGGCCTCGAAGATGTGCGAAATGAGCGCAAGTCCAGGAAACATGACAAACGTCAAGAACGCCCCCAATTGCACAGTCACACTCCGTGCATTGTTTGAGTTTGTGCTGAGAAACCACGTCCCTTGTGAACAATCCGCCACATAGGAGAAGCCTTAAAACGGCAGCCTTCATACGAGCCTGCTCATGTGCCCCAGAACCAGAGTCCATAGGACCAGAATATCCCTCATCCTCCAATTGCCGGAGATAGCACAAAGTGACGTCCTTCAGCACGCCGAGTTCGATCCCCCGAAAAAGCGGACGATCGCGAGAAACTTTCCGCCATTGCTCCAAACGCCAAGTCTCTCTTGTTGTGCGCAACCATTTGCCAAGTTGCGAAGGCTCGAGGTCCAACATTGTCCTCACGACACCCTTGAAGTCATTCATAGCGTCCACCTGCCGTAAACGTGCGACTGGTCCATCCCGACCCGACGGCTGTTCCAAAAACATACGCTTGACTTTTTGACGAGTGCCTGCAAATTCCATGGAACGCCAAGCCACCAAAAGACCATCCATGACCCTGCTGAAGAAAGGATTGAGTGACGGAGAAGCAACCAAAGTGAAGTAAATACTGGGACTCGCAACATATCTGTCACGACGTAACAAGCATCGCATGACGTCACTTCGCAACCTGGTGAGTGCCGCTTGGTGCTCCTTGGTCTCGCATAAACAATGTGTACCAGTGGCAAACGTGTATTGTGTACGTGTTCTGAGTAAAGCACTAGACCTCTCGTTCCATGCGACAGGAAGGTGACGGGCGCGTTGAACAGTCTGTGACCACTTTTTCATGCGGTTTATTTCCAAATCGGTAGCCGCTTTCTTTCGAGCTGCGCGATAGGCAACCGATCCTCCAATGAGACGAAAAGCGTCGCTGTGCCCAAGGCCTGGAATGCACCCATCCAAAGAAGGATCTCCAAAAGTAAAACTCTTGGTGTGGTTAACCAAACCACCAATGGATCCCACGAAGTCAAGGGAGACAATGTAGGCGGCATTGATAGTATCACGCACTTCAAGTGAAGAGGATCCATCTGTGGTAATTGATATATCATCAGCGTAGCCTCGAGGTCGACATCGAGGGACTCTGTCACTGAGAGATCGCAACCAGATGTTGCCGACGCAATTAAGCGCCATCATTGACAAAGGACAACCTTGTAAAATGCCACCATAAACTGTTTGAGGTGCGTCTAGACAGACGCCCAATTTGTACCGTCGCGTCGCCTTACGAAGCATGCCCAGATAGGGCCGCAAGACGCAACCTGGAAGTGACATCCGTCGCAAAATATGCCCAAGCAATTCCCTCGGTATACGATCGAAGGCTTTGGCAAGGTCGAAGGAGATGCCTCCCACGCTGCAAGACTGAGAAGTAGATTCCAGATCCAGACACACTGCGAAAAGCAAAGGCTCAGGGCCACGCCCTCGCCTTCCCCCATACATGCCCTCATGGGCCCATAGCTCTTGCCACATAGCACCCAACTGTTTGGCACGAATCCGCGCCCAAATTCTATAAATACCACCCAATACCGTTATAGGTCTCAGGTCGGTGGGAACTTCTGGAGGCTGTTCGCATTTCGGTATTAGGCTGGTGAAGCCAGAAATTAAACTTTGGGGCCGAGTGCCTCGTTGTTCGATGGTCACCAAGCTTTCGCAGAGCTCATCAAAAACCCAAGGAGCAGAACGCACCAAAAGCTTCAAGTCCTGAAATTTCCAAGCATCCAGACCTGGACACGAAAGAGGAATCGACAGAATCTCGCTTTTCAGTAATTCCGGCGTCAAGGGGGGCAACTCAGCCGGAGAAGAAGAGATGTACTTCTCATACTTCCGGAAGAATTCGGAATGATCCGGTTCACCGTCCTTGAACAGTTCATTGACAGCACGCCATGCATCGCGAACGGCCTGAAACTGTTGTTGAACGTTGGCGGTACGAGCACCATCAGGACCAGCAAAGCAAAAACCCGAAGAAGACTGTCCATCATTCCGAAGCCAACTATGCTGCGCACGTAGAGAGCTTTGAAGTTTACGCTTCCAAGCCTTGATCCGTTGCTGCTTCTGTTCACGCTGCACCTTGACAATGGCATTTTCAAATAACTGCTGAAGCCGAGCCGCAGAATCATGAGAACAACGGCCGGAAAGCAAGCTGCGAGCCTCCCAATAAGCTTGGTCATCGAGATCATCAAGCGCACGAAAAGCATTTGCCCAAGTGCGCAGCGCCTTCTGACCATAGGGCCGTTTTTGTATCTCCACCATACGACTGCATTGCTTCCAGAGGCGCCTGATAGATAGACAAGCAACCTCACCCCCGCGAGATTGTGGCCACAAAGGCTGAGGATCAATCCGAATCGTGCCTCGCCCTTTCTTAAATTCACCAGACCAACCATTCAGAAAGTAAATGTGTTCAAGATGCTTCTCTGCATAGCCACACCACGCCCGAAAGGCTGTATCCATGTCCCCATGTTCAAGAGCGTGACGAAACAGGGAAGAAATCAAACATGCAGGTCGTTGCAAAGCATTCGGAATACCTTGCAAGGAAAGCTCCCCATATTCTCGATTCCGAGAGACCACCTGTCTGGTGACATCTAAATTGAGAAGACAATTTATTGGGCAATGGTCTGCGAGGCCGTGACGATCACCAACGAAAAACTCGCGAAAAGAAGCCATAAGCATCTGATTGCAAAAAACGTGATCAATGACACTACCAGTGCCTTTATAACATGTAAAAGTCTGCCCCACGCCAGAAACCTCAGCAGCACGGGACCACCCCAATTGAGGAAGGCGCTGCAAAAACTCCGAGTCGCCTACTTCAAGATTGAAATCCCCACCAACCAACGCCGGTAGGCCTCGCGAGGCTGCATCATTAAAGGCTGCCTCAAGGATGGACTGGGTCTGTTTCTTCAATGGAAGACTCCACCTGGAGCCACTGATACCATATACGATGTAGCAAAGGAATTGCTTCTTACCATTGCCCACGTGGATAGAAACACCATGAAGGCGAGCATTGTGAAAATGACGATGACAAGGAGAACCAGCGGACCATTGCAAGGGACGAGCATCCCAAACTGCGCCCTCTCGAACAAGAAAACCAACGCCAGCTTTGGAGTTCGGTGCCCCCCAAAACTTCCGATATTTGGGAAAGGATCCATCCACAATCTTCATAAGCTCGCTCGTGAGATGCGTTTCCGAAAGAACCATCAAATCTGCATCCAAGCTAGTAATAGCTGGACCACGCGTTTTGCCCATGACACCATCCGGGTTCAGAAAACAAATACGAAAACCATGAGAAGAAGTGTTGCCATTGATAATGCGCATGTAAAGATTGACACCCATTGAGAAAGCTCCCATCACGCAATAAGCGTTAACAAGTGAAACCACGTAAGCTTGATCACGAAGTGCGTGACCTGTGAGGCTCCGGGGTGACTCCCGTGGAACCTTCCGCTGGCCTCTTCTCTGCCTCACTGAGAAGACCCTCTTTCGCATCGATATCCATGTTCGTGAAGCCCTCCTTGAAGACCTTGCCCAAGAACTCATTCTGCGCAGACCTTTGAGCCGTAAGCGAGCGCGGAGGTGTCTGAAAAGGGGCCTGAGTGCCCGGAACTCGGGCGGACGCATCACGAGCAAGGCCACGAGCTTGGGCATTAAGCGCTCGAAAACAAATCTGCCGTGGGACACCGCGATGACGAAAGAAGGAGGGTTCATCCCAACCCCTGTTCGTCGAGAGGAAGACCGCATGACGCCGACCCATTTGAGGTCGTGTAGCAACGCCGCCACACCATGGATTCCAGTGCTGGCATGGATCCCAGACAACTTCCATCTTGCAAGATTACGGAAGTCCTCGAGGTTGTGAGCCGCCGCAAAGGCACGCAGCGTCTCAAGAGAGCGAAAACGAATGGCAAACCGCGGCTGAAAGGCCCCCCCTTTCTCAACAACTCCAAAGCAAGTGTCCTTGGCCGCCAGCTTCAAAGCTCCCTGCAAGTCATATCCTTCTGCCAGCCAAAGTAGTTCCATTTCCACACCCTCCTTTGTCTTCATGAAGATCCCTTTTTTCCCGGAATTCTTCAAAAGGATGTCCACATAGTCGCGGTGAACCAAGAAGGAGACGGAGTCGCCCTCACGGGGAAGGATTTCTGCCAGCGCCGCTTCGGGAATATACTGTGTCAATTCTGAAACAATCACGGATGCAGGATGTGGACCAGCCGGCCACCCATGTCTTTCGGGCATCTTTAGGGTCATGCGAGTCATCGTGGTCATCAGCTGGACTTCATTGCCCAACATGCGCTGATGAACTTCTGGTCCAAATCCAACTTGAACAAGGAAGCGTTCCACCTGAGTGGTAACCCTCTCTCCATCGTTTGCCATGACAGAGATCCCGCAGCGAATGGCTTGTCGAGGATAGCCACGTAACCCCAGGGAATCAGGGGATTGCGTGACCACTATGGCCACGGGCTGAGCAGTAAAACCTATGCGCTGAACAACGTCAGCAACATGAGCACGTGGAACATAGGCTATACCTCCTTGGCGTCCCAATGTTTGGTGCATGTGTACTGGAACGGGCCACTCTTCCTGCAATAGAGTGGTTTGCATACGGATTCTTGCCGCATCTGGCAAAACCGATTCCACCGCCACAGCAACATCATGCGCATCATCTTGAGATGTCGGAGTGGTAAAAGGAGCCCTTTCAGCAGGAGTTGATGACTTGGATTTGCCCTTCTCAACAGCTTTGCCGCCGGCTTTACCCTTACCCTTGGAAGGCTTCCCCATATTGCCATGAACAATGTGCATGAGCTTGTTCCAAAGTGTCATGACACATAGCCATACCAAACATGCGCCAAAATAGGCAATCATCAAAGCACCAAAAAGGGTACTGTGTGCTGAGTTGTTCACAACCCACTGAGTTGCGCCACAAAGGCATGACGTGCACCGACGCACCTCGTTGGTCAACATCATCACCCCCGGTATGCACGTCATTGACCAAGTCGAAGGTGCCGGGGAGCCCCTCGAGTCCCTAAAACCAGAACCCCCCCCCCCCCCCCACAAAAAAAAAAAAAAAAGGGTTTAGGGTTTAGGGTTTAGGGTTTAGGGTTTAGGGTTTAGGGTTTAGGGTTTAGGGTTTAGGGTTTAGGGTTTAGGGTACCCCAAAACCCCAAACCCTAAACCCAAAAACCCCTAACGCCCCCCCCAATAAAGGGAGATGGCAAGGCACTCACCCAATCCGGGGTCTTCTCGGGTGGGAGAACGGGGGCCTCCGTCATCTTCAAGAACCTCGAAGTTAAGGGCTATTTCGGTTGAGGGCCCTAAACCCTAAACCCTAAACCCTAAACCCTAAGCCCTAAACCCTAAACCCTAAACCCTAAACCTAAACCCTAAACCCTAAACCCCAAGGCTGGAGTTCATGGAGTGAAGGGAGCTCTCACGCAATCCTTCTTTAAGTGGGGGGAGGGTTTAGGGTTTAGGGTAAACCCTAAATCCTATCCCTAAACCCGAAACCCTAAACCCCGAAGAACTTCCCTCAACTCCAGATTCCTTGGAGGTTCAGGGTTTCGGGTTTAGGGTTCAAGGTGTCCTTGTTTGGACCGCAGTTCTGTATGGCTTTGGGCTGTAACATCCGGCCTCAAGGTTGATGGTTTAGGGGTTTAGGGTTTAGGGTTTAGGGTTTAGGGTTTAGGGTTTAGGGTTTAGGGTTTAGGGTTTAGGGTTTAGGGTTTAGGGTTTAGGGTTTAGGGTTTAGGGTCGTGGGTGTAAGAATTGTCAGGGTTTTCGGGGTTTTAGGCATGGGGCTTAGCGCTGTAGAGTTTTAGGAGTTAGGGTCCAGGTATTATAGGCCTTAGCCTTAACCCTCTATGATTCAGTCTATACCAGCTTTACCTAAACCCTTCATCAACTCTACTAACCCCCAAAGCAAAAAGCAAAACCCTAAGATCCTGAACCCTAAGCCCCACACCCCGAAGATCCCAAAAACAACAACAACTCAAACCCTCCTAAATCCTAAACGCTATATAAACCCCAACAACCCTAAACCCCACAAGCCTGTATACCTTGAAGCCAATACGCACAAACCCTGAACCCCATGACCACAACTCCGAAGCCTAGACGTATTAAGCCCACCCTAAAACCCTCGAAGCCCTAAACCCTAAACGCTGTAAGCCCTCAAAGCCTTGATGCCTAAACCCTCTCAGCCCTAGCCACTCAACCCTACGTAAACTAAACCCTCTACGCTCTTAACCCTAAACCCTCTAAGCCCTGCCTTCTAAGCCCCCTAAGCCCTCCCTCCAAGCCCTCCAAGCCCTCTAAGCCCTCCAAGCCCTCTAAGCCCTCTAAGCCCTCTAAGCCCTCTAAACCCTAAACCCTAAACCCTAAACCCTGAACCCTAAACCCTAAACTCTACAGGCGATCTTGGCCAGAGGGCTGCTCAATCCGGCGAATGCTCGGGCCGATCACGATGGCTCGGCCCAAGGACTTGGTGAAGAGGTCGCAGTTGCTCTTCCTTACGATGCTGTGGGGTCTAGGGTTTAGGGTTTAGGGTTTAGGGTTTCGGGTTTAGGGTTTAGGGTTTAGGGTTTAGGGTTCACGGGTAGTGATATATGTAGGGTTTTGAGTATGGTAAGCATACTGATAAGCCTACTTAGGGTACTAATGACCCTGCCGCTAACAACCCATGAACCTCCAATCTGGTTTCGGGTCTAGGGTGTAGGGTGGGCTTAAAGGCTCAGGTTCACCAGATAACTGGAGAGCCCTAACAGAGGGAAAAAAGGGCTAGTGTCAAAGCCATACCCTACCCTGAGAACCTGAAAACCTGCTTCTTTGCCGGCAGCTGCTTTAAAGCACCGAAACGTAAGTGCTTAAATTCAAAACGCTTACGGTTCAGGGCAGTGTGGGCTTTAGGACCTATGGTTCAGCATGGCTTCGAGGCCTCTTTAAGGACTTAGGCTTAAACTCTTGAACCCCCCCCATCCCCCTAAACCCGAAAAACCAAAGAGGCAAGTAGCTCGCACCATGCTATGGTTGTACCCAGCGGGTAGAGACTCAGGGATGTTTTGATATGAGGGAAAGGCCATGACGTCCCCTTTGCAGGTTTAGGCTGCAAGCTATCGCGAGGTCCCTAAGCCCTAAACCCTAAACCCTAAACCCTAAACCCCAAACCCTGGAGCCTCAGCCCCCAGAGACCTCAAGACCCGAAGCAGCTTGGCTTTGGGGAGTAGGGGGTTCGGGCTGCAGACGTGGGCTTCCTGGGGCTTGAGGCTCTCGAAGGCTTAGAGGCTTCAGGCTTTTCTGGGCTTAGGGTTTAGGGTTTCGGGTTTGGGGTTTGGGGTTTCGGGTTTAGGGTGTGAGGTTTAGGGTATAGGGTTTGGGAGGGGTGCAGCCCGGCTTCAAGTTGGACAGGATCTGCATGCAGGTGAAGATGGTCGCCACGTCGTGATGCCCGTAGATGGCAGAGTAGCCCCACACGCCGGAGAGGATCAGGAGCCGGGGGAAGCTGAGGAAGAGTCCCACGAAGACACCCAGGTAGCCTCAGGAAACCAGGTTCCAAGAATAAAAGTGTCAAGGGCACAAATTCTATAATTTAAGCCCGAGCCCTAAAGTTTAAGAACCTTTTGGGTTTTCAAGGTGTAGAAGGCTTTGTGAGGGATCAACGGGTCTCAGAGGCTTCAGGGTTTAGACGTTGAGGCTTTACTTAGACCTCCGTAATTGCAGTTCCCTCTCCGCGGCCCCTTAGATTGACAGATTGCGCAATACTAGCCATAAACAATTCATAGAGGTCTAGGTAGGGCTCAAGAAACCCGAAACCCCAAACCCTAAACCCCAAACCCTAAACCCGAAACCCTAGAGGGAGTTCGCTGGGCAGGTTTGCTCTTTCTACCTCGCGCCCTCACCAGGTTCGAAGCCTCGAGGGCAGAGGCTCAACTTTTAAGGAATTGGGGTGTAGGGCTGAATGTCGAGAGGAGGAACTTGGGGTCTGTATGGTTCAGGGCTGATAGGGTTTAGGGTTTAGGGTTTAGGGTTTGGGGTTTGAACTGCCTGAGCCCTGTTTTGCAGCAGGGATCCTGGCACACGCCCAATTCGTCTTGAAAGGATTACCTGTCGGTTTCTACATCAGTGAGGGCTTGTCAAGGGAAAGACCTAGGCAACAAAAACGAACCCTAACACCTAAACCCTAAACCCTAAACCCTAAACCCTAAACCCCCAAACAGACACTGCGTTGACCTCCTAACTCTTCAGAAGTCCATGCCCTGGGGCCGTAGTACCGCGTCAGGCTCCTCACCTCTTCCCTCCGGGACCCTGAGATCCGGTTGAACATGGCATCCTGGAGGCAGGGTTTAGGGTTTAGGGTTTAGGGTTTAGGGTTTAGGGTTTAGGGTTTAGGGTTTAGGGTTTAGGGTGTAGGGTGTAGGGTGTAGGGTTTAGGGCTGGATTTTTGGAGGCGGGAAAAGGGCTGGAGGGCTACAGGGTTTGGGGTTTAGGGTTTGGGGCTTAGGGCTACAGGGTTTGGGGTTACAAGGCTTGGGGTATCGGCTCGGTTCTAGGGATGTGGAGCTCATGGAGTTGAGATCTTCGTGTGCGCGGCCACGTCAAGTGGAGGGTGTGGGGCTTGAGACTCTGGCTTGGCGGGAACACTCTTCTCCTAGAAGCCCTAAACCCTAACCCTAAACCCTAAACCCTAAACCCTGAACCTCTTCTTGAGCATCAGGCTTAGCGCTTAGGGCGATTTAGGGCTCAGGTTTTAGGATTTAGGGTTCAGGCTTCAGGGTTTTAGGGTTTGCCTTTTGGGCCCTTGAACCGTGCAGGGTACATAGAAGGGGTATAAAAGGGTTCCCACGTGGAGGGTCCGGTCCAATTTTCAGGGACTATGTGGCTACCCTGCTCTTCTACCAGGACCTCTGTCTGAGCACCCAAAAAATATTGCACCCAACAAGACTTCGAGCCCGAAAACCCTGAATCCTAAACTCTTAACCCTACACCCTAAACCCTAAAACCTAACCCGACCCTGAAACACTGAACCCTAAATCCTAAACCCCCAAACCCTCAAACCCCTCGAACCTGGCACTCCACAATGCCTGGAGCCTCTTCATAGGAAGCTGTTTTGGGGACCACATGAATCCTAAATATTGGGATAATTTACGCCTCTAGTTATTTGGGCTTATGGATCATTCACCTTGATAGGACTTCTTCCCAAGGACAGTCTTATCCCTGTATACCCCAGAGTTTAAGACCCTGCAACCTCTTCAAAAAATGCCGCCTCCCACGCGTAGCACTTGACCGTCCGTATGCCGAACAGCACCTCGCGCAGTAGCGACACGCGCTTGTCCATGCACTCCTGAAGGCAAGGGCAAAGGAAACAGAAAAGGTTTTTAGGGTTGGGACCTTCCCCCTTCTACTAACAACGATGATAACAGGGGAAATTAGAATCCCTGTTAAGGACTGTTAGTATAAGGTAGAACGTCCCAAAGTTGTGGTTTGGAGCTCAGGGAACTGGGCTGCGGCTAAGTAAGTCACTTACGTCACCATGGACAGAAACCATATATAACACTATATATCATGGTGGCTTGATTGAACAGCATCAACTGCAACCTCGCTAAGGATTACATGGGTGATTTGGTCAGCCCCTACATTAGTCTTGTGATGGCAAGGAAGTCCGATTTTGGCGAACTTTGTTTTCGGGGGGGGCAGGTGCTGCATCCTCTCCATTCCCCCCCCCCACCCCGCAAAAAAAAAGAAAACAAAGTAACAACAACAAAAACAAAGAGTGATCCAGCCATGCTACACCTAAACCCACCTTAAACTCAAAAACCTGAACGCCCCCCGCCTCCCACCAAAGAAGGAACAAGGACACTGCTGGGCAACTTGATTTTGGAAAATATTCGGCCGAAGAACTGAAGCCTGGAACGAAATACAAAGGATGTGCATTGCAGGAGACCCAGGTATTGGGGTTTGGGGTTTAGGGTTTAGGGTTTGGGGTTTGGGGTTTAGGGTTTAGGGGGCTTGGGGGAAGGCCGCAGTTTGGGGTCTGGGAGGTGTACTCTGGGTTAGGGGGGAGGACGTTCAGGTTTGCTGTTCAAGGCGTAAGACCCTACACCCTAAAGTCCTGCATCTTGAAAGAGGCATGGCCCAAGCCAGCACCTGATCTGATGGAGAATGGGGGTTGGTCTACTCAATTGTGGCTCAGGGCGTACTACGGATTTAGGGTTCATGGCACACGTTATGGGGGCCACTGTTCTTGTATATTCTGTATCGTCTGAGGTTCGGGGCCCAGTATTCTGGCCTCTGAAATTCTCTTATAGTACAGGGTGCCCCCATGTCGATGGCCCTTTCTGAGGCAGCTCCTATGGTCCAAGCTCTGACCCCGAAGTCTTGGGGTAGTTTCATGGTCCTTGGTATGGGCCCTGAAAACGGGCCCCTTATATACCCCACTCCTGTAAAGCCCAAGAACCCATACTTCAGAACCCTTTAAAGAAGGTAAGGGACCATAGTAAGGGACCATGGAAAGACCCTTAGGCCTCGGACCTAAACCGTACCGAAAGCCTTAAACCCTACAACCCAAACGACAACCCTAGAAAGAGCACCCCGGAAATGTGCCCCTAAACCCTAAACCGTAAACCCTAAACCCTAAACCCTAAACCAGCTCCCTAGAGTCGGCCAAGGCGCTCATCCACAAAGACAGCCACACGACCGGAACCGCCACAGCGGCAGCGCACAGCGTCGCCAGGCCGAGTCGGTTCCACAGGAGAAGCAACCTGGGCATTTCCCAAAAATAGGGGTACCCCGTTTATGCACCAAACAGAATAGAATCCCCTGAAAGGAACTCCCCAAGAAGGGTACCCCTAATTTCGGAACCCCCACCAGAACGCTTTTTGGGAGCCAGTTTGGTCTTGCTCTTGGGGCTGCCAGCATCTTCTGCTTGATGTTTTCTGCATGATGTGGAACACGATATATATATATATATGTATATATACACACATACATATATATATATGTATGTATGTATATATGTATGTATATATGTATGTATGTATGTATATATGTATGTATGTATGTATGTATGTATGTATGTATGTATGTATACACATGGATACAGGTGTTTATGCCTACTTGCATGATGCAGCATACATATATATATATATATACTCATACATACATACACACATACATACATGTGTGCTTAGCGTTTGGGCTCAGGATGCCAGAACAATCGCCACCACCCTAAGTTAGGGAACCTAAACTCTGGCCCTGATATGCGGGTGGGGGGGGGGGCTTCTTAGAATGGGTCTTTAGGGCTTCGGCTAGGGTTTTATATTATAGAGAAGTGCTCAAGGGAAAACTAGTGTGGTAACTTTGTGGGCTCCTGTATATCGAAGCTGGGGATCTGGCTACATACCCCAAACCCTGAACCCCTCGATAAAGGGCTTTCATGCAGCCGAGGGCCTTTCCCGAAACACCCGAAACTTTAGGCCCTTGTAAACCCTAAGCCTCACCATTCTGGGTCTGCAAGTGGCAGTGGGTCCCTTCTGAGGGGGCTTGGGGCTTACTTAGTGGTCTGAGGGTTGCAGGCTTCATAAACTCCAAGACCCTCATCCAAAACCTGAGACCCGAGTACCCGAAACCAGGCACCCACATGGATGACCAAGGTGCAGGACGATGACGGAGACGGTGGAGTTCACGCACATGCAGAGCTGAACGTAGAATCCTCCCACGGTCGGCAGGCGTTGGCGCTTGGATGTACCAAAACCGGATTCAGGGTTCAGGGTGTGGTCGGGGGGGATAGCCCAACACCCGAAGCCCAAAACCCAAAAAAAAATTGCTTGAGCCTGTCATCCTGGGTAGCCCCCTAAACCCTATACCCTAAACCCTAAACCCTAAACCTTAAACCCACCAGCCTTGAAGGTTCGTGTTCACATCGTAGTTGATCAAGGTCATAAGGTCCGCTTGCATCATGTGGACCAAAGCGCCTCTTCCAGTTGCCACTGAATACTCCGGAGCCCTAAACCCTTAACCCTAAACCCTAAACCCTGGTTTGCTTCAAGAGGTTCTATACCCCCCCCAAGGGCACTACTGGGCATCCTAGAACTCCCTACCGGGCGTTCTTAGAGAGACTTGCTGTGGTCATACACCCTAGGCCCTCAACCCTAAATCCTTAAGCCCCATGAAATTGGAAAAGCAAGTCCCAAGCTCTGAAAAGGCAACAACCGAAAAGCTGCCCACCTGAGTTCTTTGCAGTCTCTTCGTCTCTCTCCGTGTCCACCTGGGAGGGGCGCTCTCTTGGGAGGTTGGGGGTGGGTTTTGGGGGGGTTAGGGGGTCGTCTTGGGGGGGGTTTAGAGAAGGGTTTAGGGGGGTCTCGGGGGATTAGAAGGGCTGGGCTGTTTGCGCCATGAACCTACAACATTCAAAAATGACAACACGAAAAACAAATCAGTAAATGTCCATGTATATACACATGTACAAAAAGCACCATAAAAACATAATATATATATATACATATATGTATGCATTTCTGTTTATAATATGGGAAATGATCTAAATTGTGGGCGCCCTGGTACCGGGACATAAGGCCACATACTGTAGTTGGCACGCCACGCACAAAACAGGAACAGGTTGAGGCTAAGGGAACCTGCCGTATCCACAGTCCCTAAGCTGCTCTAAGCCCACATTGGGGGATTCCCGTAATTAGGGTACCCATTCTGGGAGCTCCGCAAGAATGTCAGGTATGCACTGCGGAGGACATATTCGGGTCCCCCTATTTTGGGAAATGCCCAGTTTAACGCATCACTGGAATGGACATAATTATTTGTTTGGAGTTTGGAGGTGTACCCTGAATCCTAAGGATCCATGTACCCATGTAGTTATACTTGGGCTATATACGATATACATGGATCCTTGGGGTAAACTCTAGACTCTCTACCCTCTGGGTGTGTAGGGCTTTGGTTGTAGCTTGTGAGTTGGGGCTGGGGATTTCCCACGTGCCGGGCCGTCAGCGCCCAGGGCCTAGGAAGACCTCCCCATCCATTCACACGTGATCTCAATGTCGAACCCCGAAACCCCAAACCCTAAATCCTAAATCCTAATTAAGCCCGACGTCCTTTTCCTTTATTGACTAATCAACCAGCAGGTCCCTGCAACAAGTGGACCCGCCGCAACCACCCCCCCTCGAGAGCAAAAGCCGTACAGGCATCGATGGAGTTCTTCCACCTCCCGCCACCCTAAACCCAAAGCCTAAACGCTAAGAGCCCCTAAACCCTAAACCCTAAACCCTAAACCCTAAACCCTAAACCCTGAAACCCCAAAACCGTGACCCTCTAACCCCCGAACACCCCCCAGTCCCTGAAACCCTCAAACCGTGACCCCCTGACCCCGAAACCCCAAAACCCTGGCTGAAACCCCTAAGACCGCGGCCCCTAACCCTAAAACCCCTAACCCCTAAACCCCGGGCCCCGAACCCTAAACCCTAAACCCTAAACCCCTCAAACCCCTCAAAACCTATGAGCACACTGCCACTGCCACAGTCCCACCTGCAGCTTCGCTGAAGGAAGCCTCTGGGCCTGCAAACGCAGCAATACGCTTTAGGGCTTAGGGGTTTTAGGGTTTAGGACCCTCAGACCAAAGGCCAAGGGGTTTCAAGTTAAGTGGGTTTAGGGTCTAGGGTTTGGGGCTTAGGGTTTGGGTTTTAGGGTAGGGGTTCTTAGGGTTTAGGACCCTCGGCCCTCACGTGTCGCAAGGGCTTTCGGATCCTTCGTCGGGTTCTCCTGCAGCGGGATGAAACTTAGGCACAGCGCGCAGCGCTATCTAGTTTCGGATGGGTGCCTGAAGCTCTCAGCTCTTCGCCCTAAGCCGGGACCTCGCAGTCCGACCCCAAATGCCGCAACCTCACCACCCAAGCTCAAGCTCGAAACCCCAGCAACATATCCCCTGGGGTTTTGGGATTAGCGCTTGAGGTTTTAAGGGTTCAAGGTTTGAAGAATTGAATAGTGCTTGGGGCCAGATTAGGGTCTCTTCTCTGGTACTCCTGCTGTACTCTTATCTCATGCAGGGAATACTTGCGCTCCCTTTTTTAGGGTGGGGGTGGGGGGGGGGGGAGCGCAAGGCCCATTTGTCTACGTCGTTCCATGATGGGGCCCTTTTAGGCCCTTTTTCTACACTGAGCTACAAAAACAGGACTTATAAGGCTTAGGGGTTCCCCACCCCTAAACCCTATAAGCCCCCAAACCCTACACCCTAAACCCTAAACCCTAAACCCTAAACCCTAAAGCCCCCCGCCAAGACCCCCAAACCCGCGCCTTGCGGAAGAGCGCCAAGGAGAGACCACCGCAGAGACGCTGGTCCAGGCGGCAAGAGATGTGGTTGTTGATCCTGGCAGTTCTATGGGTTTAGGGTTTAGGGTTTAAAGGTTAGGGTTTAGGGTTTAGGGTTTAGGGTTTAGGGCTACTTGAAGGTTCATGGGTACTTATAAGTAAGGTTATAAGTAGTGTAACTACGGTTACGATCCCATTTACGGTTCTGTTATAAGTACCCATGAACCTCCAAGTAGTGTTCAGGGTTTAAGGGCTTCTGGCTTTCTTTTTTACCTCAAACCTGAACACTATTTAAACCGTTGATTCCGAAAAAGCCTGAAACGAAATCCACCACAAAGGCATGGGCAAAACCTGCAGCAGCAAGCCTTCTGCATCTGTGACGGTTAGATTGATAGGACTTACGAACTTTAGGCTTCCCCACGACGAAGTTTCCCAGCAAGGGGAATGCCAAACCCCAGATGAAAAAAAAAAAACGGTGAAGGTTCTGCGGGCCTTCTGTAGAACCCTCAGCCCTAAGCCCTAAACTCTATAGTTTCAAAAATCCCCAAACCCTTGAACCCTAAACCCTTTAAACCCTGCAAACCCTATATAAACCCTAGAAACCCTAGCAAAACCCAATAAAGCCCTGCAAACCCCATAAACCCTAAACAAGCACCATAAAACACCTAAGAAGCCCCTCGTAGGTGCAGCCCTATAACACGCGATAAAACCCTCAAGAACCCTATAGAACCCTCTAAAAACCCTTTAAAAAAAAACCCTCGCAGGTGCAGCCCAAGCTCGAGCTGAGAACGATGTTGCTGAGCGGCAGCGCCGAGAACACGAGGATGGCGACCAGCAGGGGCTGTCCTTGGTAGCCCAGGAAACCTAAAATCCCCTAAACCCCAAACCCGAAACCGCTCTTTCTTGCAGAATATAAGTGTTAGTGACTCTGGCTGCGAGGTCGTTACAGGTCACCATAAGGTCCCATGACCTTGTTATGACCTTGTTACGACCTTTCCCGCTAAGTTTATGACCTCGTAGTGACCTTGTAGCGACCTTGCCCGCTCTTTTTATGACCTTGTTCTGACCCTGCCCAAAAAAAACGGGCAAGGTCATATCTTTGCAGGCAAGGTCACTACAAGGTGACTACACGGCCATGAAATTAGGGCAAGGTCAGTACAAGGCCACTACAAGGTCTCATGACCTTGTTATGGCCTTGCCTACTAGTTCTATGACCTTGTAGTGACTTTGCCCGCTCTTTTCATGACCTTGTTCCCACAAGGTCGCCACAAAGGTCCCCCACAAGGTCCCAGAACCACAAAGTCCGCCACAAGGACACCACAAGGCCCCCCACAAGGTCCCCACAACGTTCCCCACAAGGTCACCACCACCCCCCCCCCCCCCTTCAGCGAGGCTTAGGGTTTGGGTTGTGCGTGAAACTGTTGAAAATCTTAATGGCATGGGATTCTCTGGGTGGGTGGTACTTTTGGTGCACCTGAAAAGCTGCTAAACTAGTGAATGCTTGAACTTTGAGATGCTGAAGCCTAACCCCAAAACCCTATGGAAACAGGGTTTAGGGTTTATAGGGTTTCCCTAAGCCCTCAACCCTAAACTTGGTCCTAAACCTAAAAGGCCCTAAAGGCCCCTCATCATGGGTACTTATAGGTAGGGTTGCAAGTCCCCTAAATAAGGCTATCACCATATTTATCCTACTTCTTGCCCTACCCTAAACCCTAAACCCTAAACCCTAAACCCTAAACCCTACTCATAAAGTTCCCATGAACCTCCAAGTGGGCTACCAAGCGTCTCAAGTCTGGAAGCACACCATGGGCCTGCAATCGCCCAATTGAGGGGACTTGGAAATCCGCATGAATGCAGCTTAGGGTTTAGGGTCTAGGGTCTAGGGTTTAGGGCTTAGGGTTTAGGGTTTAGGGCTTAGGGTTTAAGCTGGTGGATCAGGGCATTGGACTTGGCGGTTTAGGGGCCTCGTAGGGCTTTGGGCGAGGGCGGCAGGCATAGGGCGCAAGGCATTGTTGAGCCATGCCTGGTAGTATTCCTGCACCCAGTGGAAGTAGCTCAAAGCTTTCTGGACCTGTGCTCATGCAGACCGAGGCAGTGGCGTGCAGGGTCCATTTTTAGATGCCATGACTTGCCGTTGATTGCCGGGCTGTAGGTTTGGTGACCCTAAAACCTAAACCCTAAACCCTAACCCCTAACCCTGAACCCTAAACCCTAACCCCTAACCCTGAACCCTAATTAAACCCTAACCCCTAACCCTGAACCCTAAACCCCAAGTCTTGGCACGCTGCGGCATGTGACTAGCAATCCCGTTTGTGCCGTCGAGATTTTTGCATGCATAGGAGTACACCAAAAACAGTTTTATATGCATGTATATCTCTATATTTATTGTATATGTAGAGATAAAGAAATGAATGAATGAATGTATGCACGTATGTATGTATATACATGATGTGATGTGGACATAAATCCACTGTACAGCCTTCGAGGATCTTCCTGGCCTTTGCAGCCTGCTTCTATGGCGGAGCATAATGTGCATTGGCACTCACCCTAAACTCTCAGCCATAAACCCTGAAACCCTAATCCTAACCCTAATCCCTAAACCCTAAACGCCAAACCCCTCCCTTCGTATAGAAGGTGGAAGAAATGCAGCGGCGCACATGTAGCATGCTTTGAGGCAGCAGAACTCAAGGGACATAAAAAGAAATGCCCTAAACCCTAAATCCTAAATCCTAAACCCCAAACCCAGCCACCCTGCAAAGGGCGTTGGGTCGAGGATGAGAAACCCTAAACCTATCCCTCCGCAAAGATTTTTTCGAAGAAAACTCCAGCCGAAACCCAGCAACCTTCACCTTTACAGACTTATAAGTAGGCTTATAGAAGTGGGGCAACTATGGTTCTAACCACAGATAAAGTACGGACCCATGAACCAAGTACATGAAGGGGTGTATTAATTACGACCTAAGCTCGAGGAGTGAGATGTCCAGGACTAGGGTTTAGGGTTTAGGGTTTAGGGTTTAGGGTTTAGGGTTTAGGGTTTAGGGTTTAGGGTTTAGGGTTTAGGGTTTAGGGTTTAGGGTTTAGGGTTTAGGGTTTAGGGTTTAGGGTTTAGACCTCTCAAGGTCTTTCAGAGCTGCCCAAGAATAGCTTGGCTTAGGGTAAGTGAGGTGCCGGCTACCTCTTTCTGTAGCCATAGGGTTTTAGGGTTTAGGGTTTAGGGTTTAGGGAGGGATCTGTGGGGGGGGGGGGGGGGGGGGCTCTCTTTCTGAGGGCAACTTGCCAACCAGCTGCCAGGTAGACGGAATAGGCTTGCGAGACGATGATCTGCAAGGCCAAGACCTCACCCGTGCGCGGTTTAAGGTTGGGTGTTTCAGGGCTTTGGGGTTTAGGGTTTAGGGTTTGGGGTTTAGGGTTTAGGGCTCTGGGTGTTTTAGGGTATTACATCTTCAGGAATCGAATGTAGGGTATAAATGCTTGGGACGGAGAAGCTAAAGCTACAGGCTTCAAAACCCCCGATCTCCGAAATCCCCACACACAGGGGATTGAAACGTCGCCAACATCCTCGACCCCTCGGGTATGCTTCGAAAGGTCTGCCAACTTCCTGTCACCTGCAGCCCAGCAGCTAACATCAGGCAAAGCATCGTCTTCACCGTGTAGATTCGGATGATGACTCGTGCCAGGCTGGCGTGCAGCTCGCCAGCTGACTCCACTTCCTGCGCGAGGCTCAAACACAAGGCCCTCAACCTTCTAAACCCTAAACCCTAAACCCTAAACCCTAAACCCTAAACCCTAAACCCTAAACCCTAAACCCTAAACCCTAAACCCTAAACCCTAAACCCTATAAACCCTAAACCCTCACCACCACAGCCCGACGCAATCCTCGCGCCAGAGCTTCTCAAAGAAGTCGCTGCACTCTTTCGCCTGATTCAGGGGTAGGGATCAAGGCTCAGGTCTGTTTGCTTGAGCCTCCATACTTGCCATTACATACCCCTGCCTACCAAAGTCCCGAAACCGAAACCGCCTAAGCCCAAGAGATCCCAAAAAACCTTCAACCACATCAAACAAAAAGCCCGAAACCCTAAACAACCCTCGCCTCAAGCTCACCAGTGAAGTTAGGGCGCATTATCTGCAACTGTGGGACAAGAAACACCCTGAGGCCCTAAAACCGAATAGACGAAAAGCAGCATACACTCTCTCGCTCTCGTTCTTTCTTTCTTTCTCGTTTTTTCTTTTT